AGAGCAGGCTGGCAGCGCAAGTGCGGGACCCATGCGGGAGAGTTGGACGCGCGCTGAAGCTGCGTGGAGGGAACGCGCCAGCTGAGGCACGGGCGTGCTGGGGACGCGCGCGAGATGGAGTGGGGAAGGCAGGCGAGCTGGGACCCACGGGAAAATCGGCTTGTGGCTTCGGCTCACGCGGCTCTTCTCTCTTTTTGGCTTGTGCGGCTCGGCTTACGCGGCTTACATTGCTTTTTATCTGTAAATAATTAAGCAAAAACTAGACAAATTCCAATTAAAAATATTATGAATAAAAATAATGGATTTGTTTAATTAAAGCTTAAATATTTTAATATTATATAAATCAAAAGCAATATTTATGGTGCATTTTCATGCACTAATCAGGTATCCAAGGGCGACACCTATTGTGGTTCCGGCTCCGAGATAGCGAAGAATTTCTGATGGGGAGCTTCAAGTGAGCATATGGTGTGGGAGAGGAATGTGACCAGTTTATGGAGGAGGCTCCTAAGTGAAACTCAATCTTGGGAGGTGTCAGGCTATGGTTAGGGGGTTTTGATGTTTTGGGAGCTTTGTCGCCACTTCCAATGGGGAGAACGCCTAGAAACTTGTTCTAGAGGGACTCCGCCAGAAGTTATGGAGAATGGAATTCTCCGTCGGTCGCTCTGATAGAACCCAAAACCAGAGAAATCACCAGCTAGGAAGGGAGACTTTTGGTTTGCATTTTTTCTTCTCCCCAGAGAGGCTTGAGCGTAAGTATTTATAGACAAGAAATGTGGTAAAGAGAAGGAAGTTTTCCCTGCAATGATTTTGAACTTTAGCTAAAATCCCTCCAAAAGCCTACGTTGGTAAGGCATTTCCAGTATGATTTAATGAGAGCTTTCATCGATCGTAGGGGAGGGCTTATCAAAAAGATGAATAAGTGGGTTATTGAGCAGCCAATAGGGTTCTGTGGCCATTTTGGGCGAGGTCAGAAAAATGGCAGCCAAGTGGTCAAATTTTTGCCTTCTCTTATTTATGTTTATTCTGTCTTTTATAGTTTTTGGGGAAGAGAGACTTTTGTTGTCTTTGAGGGGAAAGAGGGACATGAAGAGAAAGGAAATGCTGGGGTAACGGGCTATTTTAGTTTATCTTGTCGAATTTTCTCCATAACCCACGTTATCATAATTCCCTCATAGTCTCAAGACCCCCCTAAGTGGGCCAAGGATCTAATTGGGTAGGATAAAATGGGTCCGATCACATTCCTTAGCCAACCAAATCACGGCCCACACAGAAGTCCCCGATGCGTGGCTTGGGTCCACGTACCATACCTTGAGTTGTGTTGTAGGTTTACATTCCTTAGCCAACCAAATCACGGCCCACACAAAAGTCCTCGATGCGTGGCTTGGGTCCACGTACCATACCTTGAGTTGTGTTGTAGGTTTTGCGCCGAATCCATACCGTGCGATTTTTTGGGCATCAACATTAGCCCCCTTGATTGTATGGGCTATGCAGCATAGCGAGATAGGCCCTACAATCAATCTTTAAACCAGGCAACCCGTGTTGTCCGTGTTGGCACAGAGTCACACCAGTAGTTGATACCATTTGCGCACAATAGAATCATTCTTGAGAGAAAGCCATCTAGTGATCAGACCCATTACCATACTGAAGGGCCTGAACCCCTGCCATTAGTTAAAACCCAAAATTTTCTTTTTGTTTGTTTTTTTCCCGAAATAACACTCCTCCCTCAGGCTTCTTCCACTTCACCCACTAATCCTCCACGTGTGAGTAATTTTAAGGCAGAACCTCCTCTCTCATTTTTTTGTTTTGTGTGTTTTTCTTGTTTTTTTTTTTTTTTTTTTTTTTTTTTTTTTTTTTTCCAAAAAAACCAAACATGGAAAAAAAAAAAGCCCCCCCCCTTTTTTTTCCAGAAAAACCAAGCATGGAACAAAAGAAAGCCCCTCCTCCTTATTTTTTTCCTTCATACCGCCTCATCACCATTTTTTCTCACATTAGCACCCTTCACCGATCGGAGGAGAGAAAAGAAAGAGAGAGTGACGATCCCTGTTTGGGACCCAAAAAATCTCCATAACCAGCCCCTTTCTTCTTCAAATTAGAGTCCCTCACTCATTCTCACTTCCCCCAAACCATGACCCCCAATCCCATTCCATCGTGAACAATATCGTGAGGAGTGAGAGAGAGTTAGGGAGACAAAACTTGTTTTGCTTCTTTGGTCATTCATGGAGGAAGCCACCGTCATCGTTCGTGGAGGGGAATTGCCGCTGCCAACTCCCACGAGATTCGGGTAAGCCCTCACCGCCCCCTGTTCTAGGGCTTAGAGAAAAGGAACAAAGATTTTTTTATTCATTACTGATTCGAGTACTGTTTTGTGGCTATTACTTCCCATCGCCGTTCAGCCCCTTTTTTGCCGCTTGTGTTGTTGTTGTTGTTTCTCCCTTGTTGTCACCACCCATCTTGTAAATGGGCCCAAAACTTAAAGAAAGTAGGAGAAACCAAACCGAAAAGGGAAAAGAAACTTTGCCTGGAGAGGAGACTTTAACAAAGAACGAGAACGAGATCATTAATAACGATATGCTTGCTCCATTAGTGTAGAACCAAACTAGTTTTTTTCTTGACCCACTTGGCTTTGCTAAAATTTGCCCTTTAAAAAGCCCCTGTGTTGAGATTCGTAGCCTGCTTGTCCACACTCCATACCCATGTGTCTCCATCGTTGTTGTAGAATTTCTTTTCCTTTCTTTGTTTGGCAGGCATTGCGACATTGTTAGATATCTCTTTGAACTGATGCTCTCACATATGCTTTGTTTTGTTTCTCTTTTCCTTCCGTTCGTTGATGCTTATCCACTGCGTTTTCCCCATTACTTATATGCTTACTTGAGTGTGCACTTTATGGTTGCATTCGATGGTTGAAGCCGTGAGGCTGTTGTGACTCTGTGGCTGTGTGTTACTTACTCATTTTGTCGCCTCAAATATGTTGTCATGGTTGTTTAGTGGTACGGCCACCGTTTCCTTTTTTTTTTTTTTTGCATTGATAATTGTCGTGATAGTCCAAGCACCATTATTATGACCCTCACAAAATTGCGAGTTCTAGTATCCTTTCTAATTCCTCCCGGTGTCATCTTAATACTATGGGCAAGGGATATGCCCTCAATATTGCACCAATTTTGGTTGGTCGCCTGGATTCTAACTTTATCATTCCTGCCCTCACCTACTTGGCTCTTGGTAGAATACATTTCGTATCGCACCCCCCCTTTTTTAGCATGTTCTAAGACTAATCTTTTTGTTGCCATCCTCCCTTTTTTAGGTTCTCAATGGCAACTCGTGCTTTATTGAAGCCAGGATCAGCTTCAAGGTCGTTTCTTCGGGATGCCACTTTCGTGATTAACGATCATCTCCATGAGGCAATGCATGGGCTAGAAGCCGCCGGGGTGCCTATCGACGACAGGCTTTCCCCTGAAGAAAGAAAGAGGATCTTTCAAGATTTAGTCAATTGGGTCCGCCTCTGAAGAGGTGACTTTCTGCCGCCCCGATCACGTTCCTTTGCCCTACGGAAGTTTCGACGAGTTGGACAGATTAGGTGCGCGAGGAGCTTAAAGATAGCGAACTCCGTGAAAGACTCGCTGCGTCGGGCATGCTCCCGTTCTTGATAGCCTCGACAAATTTTCACCTCTACCGAGATGTAGTTAGCTTAAGGCATGTTGTGCGGAGATAGAGTAAATCCTCTTATTCCTTCAAAGCTGGTTCGAGGGAATTTCACCATAACTCTTGCAGACGCGTTACATATTTAATTACCAATAGGGGCTGGCATTGAGATCCCCTCTCTAGCCCTGAGAATCAGGATGATAAATTAATGCTCAGAGTCTTAGAGAAAGCCTTGAAAAAAATGCGAATATAGTAATTCCCATCCTAACCCAGCCAGTTGGACGCGCCTTTTATGGCTCGGTAGAGGACGGCTGGTATATCCATGGTGAGGATCACCACTGGTTCTGTAGGTCAGAGGATATGATAACCTTCCTCCTCAGCAAATTCTTACTACCGGGCCCTTCTCCGGACACCATATTGGGCCACTTTTTCCCTCTGGCGATCGCCATTACCCGGGGGGAGAGACTTCCTCTTGTACCGCTGGTCCTTGGCCAATTTTACAGGTCATTGGACTTGCTTTCAGAGGATGAGGTCAGTGACGCTGGGTACTGCGATATTGAGACATGGCTATCGACCAATACTTCAAGTCTTTTGTGGGAACATTTTAGAGGGTATGCTCCTGAACTGCTTTCACTAGACTTTGTAAGGAGGCGATTCAAAGAATTCGTCCCAATCCCATTATGTTGCCGCTAGTTTATGAAGCAGCCTATCAGGGACCATTCCGTTTTGGACTTTTTAGATAGCGAAAGCAGCTATAGTTCTATTCCTTATGATGACGTTGACGAGCTGTATCCGTCTTTCCTTTTTTGCATCCCACGCAGTACGAGTCCGTGCAATAAAGTGTTGACAATGGATGCTCAAGGGAACCATGACTCCTGCTTGCTCGATTACGTCTTCTCTACCACACCCAGTCAACTTCCCAGCTTCATTAGCGACAAATTAGAGTACGTGTCCTACCAGCCTCACCGGGCCCTTTGTCAATTCGGCGTCGACCATACTGTTCCTAGGGGTGCTACGGAGGATCCGCCCCTTAGTGCTCAGAGCTTCTTAACTACCAGGGGACTTTCCTTGTTAGGGGGCGGCAGTCTAGTCCTGCCAGGCGCGCGCACGGTACCTGGCCACCCACTCCGTGACCTTTTCTGAATACTGGCTCCACATCGTATATCGACTTCTTACCGCAACGGATAGTGGCCCTCGACCTTGGGTACGCCCTCTTCCGAGGCTGGACATCATGCCTGAACGACTCAGGCCTTATACTCATGCATGTGTTAGGATGTACGCGGTCAAGAACAAAGCTCCTTATTAGATCATCGTTGATGGGAAAAAGACACGATTGGTAGGAGAGTTTCCTCCTAGCATGGACCTGGTGGGAGGGAGTGCACGGAGGCCTGCTAATGCGCCAGCCTTTTCTTAGCTGACCAAGGCCCGGTCATGCCTTACCACGAGGGAATATGCCCTTGCAGCCTTGTTACCGAGTCGTAAAAGCTATCGTATTGCTTCAAAGGCCAGGTCCCGGGACACAGGCTTTGGGGCGGCAGGCGACACACTTATGAGAGACGATACCAATGCTTCCTCCTCTGGCCAGACTCTTTCTCCCAAGAGTGCTGCCACGCGGGTATATCTCATTGCATTTTAACATCTCCTTTTCTTTTTTTTTTTGATACTCACGTGAACGCGCACCTGCTTGATTATTCTGGCTTGTCTCTTCTTCCTACTCCTTCTGGCAGAGACCTACTACTGTGGGGGAAGTTCCTGCGGCTAAGGCTGGAAAATCAATAAATGCCCGCTGGTTTAGTAGAATCTCCGTCACCCTCCCTCGTGCTGTTGGTAGGGATAAGCGAAAGCCCTCGGATGCACCTTCTCCCATGGAGCATAATAGGATTTGTCTGATGCCCCCAAAATCCCCATAAAAAACCTTCAACAGTCCTGAAGCTAACCTGTAGGAGTTCGTGTTTCTCAAGAACCGTCGACGCTCTAAGGGACAGCCTTAAGGAAGGGGGCCACGATTCTGAAGAATGTAACGGCAACGCCGTCGTCCTCGATGGGCTGACTCCTCCAGGCAACAAGGTGGCCTCACTGGTATGCGTTCATGCACTCACCTTGCTTTCCTTTTTTTTTATGCTTTTGTATGAAGTGGACTTATTTCGTCACAATTTCGTACTGCTGAGGAATCAATTCCTGTTCTTGCGTTAAGCGAACAGGTGCGTTCTAGCCTTGGCTGTTTTCTTATTATTTCCAGAAAACTTTGAGGTGGCCCCTAAACGTTCTTTTTTCCTTTCCCTTTCCTTTCTTTGTTTTCTTTTCTCCTCTTTTCCTCTTTTTTTTTCCAGGTCCCTCAAGACCAAGCGGGCGATGGAGCAATGAACACCCCTGCCAATCCCTTTCTTGGGGAAAAGCTTCTTGACAGCCAAGTAATCCCTTTTATATTCACTATTTTTTAATGAGTAATCGAAGAATTTTGATAAGTATGAAGCTTAGTGTGCAATGTTGCAGCCCTGAGACGAAGCGAGTGACAAGAGCTCCACTTCCCACACCGTCACTTTTCCCATAGAAGGGGTGTCAGCTGCTAAGGTAATCTATCTTTTCTGCTTTCTGGGTATGGGTTGTCATTAGCCCTATATGAGTGACCCATTAAAGGGCCAGCCGTAACCTTGGAATTACGAGAGAGACGGAACGGCTGTCGCCTGAACAGCCTACCCTTGCGAAAATGAATGATAGGCTGAATTGTTTCCTTCGTCCTTATAGCAACTCCGTTGCACGCTGGGTGCCCCTTTCTGTGGCTATGTTCCTCCTATGCTCCAGGGAATCCCTCTCCCCAATCACTTGACAAAAACCATGGGTTGTCACCGCGGGCCTTATGTGCCTAAGCCATAAGTTGTTTAGCCAGAGAAACCCACTTACTAACGTCTGCGTGCCCCACAGGGCTCAAACCATTTGTTGCGGCTGAAAACCATTACGAGTAAGTTGCAAGTTTTAAGCGCGTGAGGTATTAGTCTTGTTGCGCCCCTTTTTTTTAATAAAAAAAACGTAGACATCTGGCACGAACCATAAATGTGCAAGCCATAAGATTGCTGGTGAAATAACCATTATCGTCCCGATGTGAACTATAAGTCATAATCTATAGGGTATGCTTCTCGCATAATTCAATCCGAGGTATCGGGGTAAATCCATAAGTCTCGAGACGCACCTCGGTCAGAATTCCATGGGTTATCTCTTGTTCTCACGGGTGCCATTTTCCTCTTTGCCTATAGCCACTGTAAGTCATATATATATATATATTTTACTTTCGATTTTTGAAGCTAGCTCGCATTTTTTTGCAGATGGACTGTCGGGGTGAGGTGAGCACCTTGGCTACATCCGGTGCATGCTCCAACTTCTCCTGGCATACTGTGAGCGAGGGCGCTCCATCTGGAGCGTGTTCCTTGTCCCCACGTACCATTCCTGAGGAGAGTTATGTTTTGCCTTATTTCTTTCATGGCGACGACGGTTCTTGCGGAGCAAACACCCGGACAGAAGATCACGCGGCGGGACTCCTAAGTGATCCCATGCCGGCCTTAGCTGATAACCCTTTTGGCGGCGAGGGCCAGTTCTCCTTGCGGTGGGAAGCCGACATAAATACCTTCTTGCGGTCGTTTGATACCGCGGACGCAGTTGTCGAGCCTATGGGGACGACACGAGGGACCTTAACCATACTGGTAGCTTTTGAAGGGGTTCAAGTGTGTGACTCCTCCTGCCCTAGCGGCGGGTCACCAACCTTAAACTACTACTGATAGGCTGAGTTATAGTCTAATCTATCACTAGTTATTAGACTATCGTCTCTTTAATTTACGTTTTTCTACGAGTAAATTTTTTTTTCTTTAACCCTCGGATTTTTAACATGTTCCTAGCATGTTCTTTTGTTATACAACAACTTATCCTTGGTAATACTTTAAGAAATTGGATATGGAACTAGTCCCCGAAACTTATCTTAACTTATTACAGTCTATTGTTTTTTACTAAGACAATGACCGTAACATCTTTTTCTTAAAATTGAAACATATAAACTTGGTTCTATATTACATTACTCTGCAGCGGAATTTAATTTCTAAGCGAGCGTAGTAGAGACCACTCCCGTGTACCCATGACATTTCTGCCAGCCCTGCCTCTGTCGGTCCATCAAGCAAAACCACTATATGGCTGGCTTCTTACCTTTGTTACCTGTACACGAGTAAACTGATGAGCTAACGCTCAGCAAATATAAACATGCACACATCATAAACTAGAAAAGAATTACATTAAAAGTTATGATGCAAATATGCTCGTGTGAAACATGCTTTTTGTCTTTTTGTTCTTACTACTGTGGGCCTGGACCCCTGCTTACTGTCTTGTTACTGTGGGCCTGGGCCCCTGCTTACTGTCTAGTCTAGTCAGAATCTCTACTCTTTGAGATTTCCTCCCTTGGGAGGCCGACGACCCGTCAGTCTCTTTACATTACTGAACTTTGAGTTTTTCATTTCAAAGTGTTAAAAACTTTACTGAATGATATGCAACGTTTCTCTACGTGCACATGCTAACATAAAATGCATAATACTACTTACATACTTTAACTGTGCATAAGGGTAGCCATATGTCGCCCTTCTGCAATCTAGGGTACTGAGCCCTCCAAACACGTATAATCACATATAATCACATAGATTTAGGAACATAAGTAAATTCATAGTTCTAAGTCTAACTACAGCTTACTCGAGTCCAGAGAAACATATATGTCTATACTTACTTATAATTCGTTAGGATTCCCGCTTGCTGGAAGTTCTTTTTCGTTTTCTCGGCTCTCGTGCCAAAACCTGTTTCATAGAAATAGGTATAAATTTCCTATTCCAAATCACAATTCTTCATACTTAGATTCTTAAATCTAATTCCTAACTCGTTTCTGAACATTTTTTCCTCTCTAGGCCGAATCCTTGTTTAAGAGGTAAATTACACATATTTGTGTATCTCGGTTTCTGAATCTTAATCTGTTCATTTCTGAGCTGTAAAACTGTTATTCATTCTCTAGAATCAATTACTAACTCATTACTTACTAACTAACTTTTAGGAAATTTCGGCAGAGTTTCGCCTTATTTTTCTCATTTTCCGAGTTTTTAATAACTCGTTCTACTTCCGATTTCGGTACCTGAAGTCAAGATTCACATTCCTAAACACAGATTCCAACATGAAATTAAACAAAACACATGTTCTTTCTTAATCTAGGTTCACAGATTTTCAATGAAAAAATCCACCAAAACTTCGTTCAATCGTTTTAATACTTATACCGTTAAACTCCTATTACGATGCTCTACAAAACCTCGGTTTTGATTTTTTTTCCTCTACTTTGCCTTACATATGAAGTTTGTAACCAACGTGATTATTCATTAAACTACAAAGGCTCATTTATGTTGAGTACGTAGCCAACATGAGTCACTACGTGAGTCATCAAGCTAATGAGCTTAGGCATATAACTAAGCCAAGTGGTATATCTGCATGTGAGGTATATATCCACCTCACGGTAACTATCATTTTTACTTTTTTTTACACGTACTTAGAGATAATTATATATATATATATATACACTATAACTTGGTTTAACCTGCTTTTGTTCCTTGCCATATCAAAGATATGTGCTAGCAAATGAATGGGCTCTATACTCCTCAAATTTTTCTTGTCGATACCTAACTTTTCGTTTCTCAAAACGAGTCTCTTTCGGGTATTAATAATTTCACAACCAGTACGGGTTCTATACTGCTTTTCTAGACTGTCGAGTACCTTGGGTCAAACTTTTCATGTTCAACCCAATTCTCTTGGGTATCTCTTTAGTTAATTTCTCTTTTCTGAAAGCTTCGTTTTAATTGATTCAGAATTGTCCAAAACGCGTACCCTCGCGGTACTCATTTTTTTAGCAGTTTTCCGCTTTAACTAACTCGAGAAAATTCTGTTTTAGGAACTTTTACTATTTTCCTTATTTCTTCTACTCTTTTTCTAGCTGATCATTTGGTCACTAACCGAATATTTTAATTTTTCATAACTAAAATGTACCCGTTAAAATTTCTAACTTTTAACTGATATTTCACTATTCATAACTGATATTTACAAATTTTCTTTATAAACATATTTGTATTATAATTTTACATATTTCAGAAAATTTTACCCCGTACATAAAGTTCCTACATAATATTTTCTTGATTACATCAAAATTCTACTACTTATTATTGCGGAAAGGATTTCGGTCAAATATCGGACTATTCGGATTAGACCTAAAATTTTCTCGGTTATTACAAAGTGCCTTCAGAGGTAGTCCCCTTCCTACAAATTACATTTACTTACACTTCGGATTTTGTCCCTCTGAACTGCCTATCTCGATTTGTCAAACCGGGCTTGTTATCTGGTTTGGACTTTGTCTTGCTCGAGCTCCATCGCGCCTCCATTGATGAAGTTGGTATATCATCGTTGTTGGTATGGAGGGACATATGTTGAGAAGCCGAGAGGCTTGGCTACCGAGTCTCTCCTCTGTTGGGACGGATTAGAAAGATTGCTTGCGTCTTGTTTGGGAAGCATTGTAAGTTTGTTAGAACGGCCACCTTAGACACCCAAATAGCTGAGTTGGAGGGTAAGCTAGCTGCCTTGAGAAAGCAAAAGGCTGATCTTTGTGTGGGTTTACCTACGGAACGGAAGGCCGACATTGCGGAGATTCAAGTGCTCAAACACCTTGACGATGGCCTGTTTACTTAGTAATACCCAGGTTACCGTATCGCCATGGTGAGCTCGCCTCTCCTCCTTTTTTTTTATTGCTGTATTGCTGCATGTGTATTCATCCTTACTCTATTTTTTTTACTTGCTACGGTAGCAGTCTCCTTTTTTGATAGCTGTCTTCTTTTTGGTAGCTTGTGCTTTGGAATTGACTCTTGTACCTTGTTGTGATTTTCTTTTTCGCCAAGATTTTTTCTTGTCCTATGAGGTCATCTTTTTTTTGCTTTCTGAGGGCATTCTAAGCTTGTTTCTCTTGGCTACTTTGTACTCAGCGTATGCCTTTTTTGGCGAACAGGTTGTCGCTCTGGGCAGGGGGCAGGGTTGCTATTTTGTAAGGTTGCTGCCGGATTTCCTTGGATGGCTTGATTTTGGAGAGCTTGGTCACGTTTGAAACCTGTTTTTGGATGCTCCCCCCTTTTTTTTACGCCAGGGTATGGAGGCTTGTACATGTAATGCCTTATTTTCCTTGTAAAAATTTTCTTTGAATCTACTGATTGTGAACGTGACAATATTGTTCCATTTGGACTACTCAAAGGAATGTATACATACGCGTTTCCCCTACTTCTCTTTTTGACGCTCAAATAGAAATATGATCAAGTTTGACCCTAAATTATTACATGTATATGTGTTTTGAGTAGTGGACAGGCAATTTGAGAAACATGGATACTTTTCATTCATAGTGAATTGGTAACAAGGCTTATAGGCATGCTACTTTCTTTTACAACCGCCCCTATTCCTAAAAGAACATAGTGAATTAGGTGGTCTTAATCGAAATCATTTGTTAAGTAGTAGCCATAACCTTGCTCTTAATGGCACGCATGCCTTCTTCTGAGTACTTATGGTAACACTTGTTTTCAAAAGACATGCTCTTTTGCGACGGACGTAGCTTGCTCAGTAGTAATAACGCTTCAGCCATTTTCTATTAATAGTTTCGACATTGTTTTCACCAGACACATTAACCAGCCTATAGTAACTGCCGATGTATGCTTCTCTTACCACATACGGCCCCTCCCAGTTTGGGGAGAATTTGGATGGCCCTGAGACTTGTCTTCAGACGTGGTCAGTCACTTTTAACACTAATTCCCCTAGCTTGAAGGCTCTTGCAATCACAACCTTCCCGTAGGCTTCTTCCTTTTTCGCTGGTACACGGCTGCCCTTTGTCGCTCAATCTCTCTTCTTTCGTCCGTCGCTTCTAAGTCCAGTATTCTCTCATTCCCGCAAGAGTTTGCATCCCATTCCAAGTCATTAACCATAGCGACTCGAACGGTCGGCACTTCTACTTCCGCGGGAGAAATCGCTTCCGCGCTGTAGACGAGGGAGTAAGGAGAGAAATCAGCAGCTGATCGGGGCGAGGTTCGATAGGCCCACAAGGCATCTGGTAGATGCACACTCTAGCCCTCAGTGTATTCACGAACGATTTAATTCTGTATCCGTAAAGGGTCGCTTCGACGGCGCTATTCACAAAAGGGGTCCCATTATCGCTTATGATTTTGTATGGTATGCCAAACCTACAAACCAAATGTTCTCGGATAAAATTTGAAACAGCAGCACCTATTGCTCTTCTTAATGGCACAACTTTGACCCACTTGGTGAAATACTCTATAGCGCTAAGAATCCATATATACTCTCCTGACGCGGGATGGATAGGACCGATCAAATCGAGCCCCTAAGTATGGAACGGCTAGGGCATCCTCATGTTTTGGAAGGACGTTTGAGGCTTATGGTGGAGATTTTCAAATAGTTGACAGGTGTGGCAGCTACGGACGTAATTCGATGCATCTTTTGCCAGTAGTATCCCATGCCCAAGAGTTGTCGGTAGAGCTTCTTTTTTCCTTGGTGCTCTCCGCATTCTCCTGCATGTATTTCTTCTAGCGCCTTTTAGGCCTCAGTGTCGCTAAGGCATCTTAAAGGCTCCCCGTTGAAGCCCTTCTGAAATAAGATGTTCCCTTCACTAAAGTATCTCAGAGCTAGTCTTCTTAATTTATAAGCCTCTCTTGAGCCCGTGTGGAGGATTCCATTCTGCATATACTCAAGGTAGGGGATTCTCCAATCCTTGGTTAGGTGGGCCGTGAGAGCTTCGTCTGTCGCTCGCGCTAGTTGACACTTTGAGCCAGCGGCCTATAAGGCGTTTGTCTATTCTCTCATTTTTTGCCAGAAGTAGCCTCTTTGTTGCAACCTGCGGTAGAGA